CTAAATTCAAGGTGGCCTGAGACCACGGTTTACTGCCCTGAAACACTCTGTTCAGGCCACCTTGAAAAGAAAGGTGTAGTTGGCACCTTGCTTGCAGCTACCAGGTATAGTACTTGAAGTTCCCTTTCCGTCAACCGCTCGATAGCCTCTACACACGCACAGCAATCCACAGCTTTGAAGTCTCATTCGTGCTTTGAACTTGTGTAGGTGTGTAAGAGGTCTCACGGCCGCCTCCACCTGGCAAATGCCAAGCGGAGCTGCCGTAGAGAAATGAAAGAAAATGGAGTGGGATGGTGGATCTAGGGTGCAGACCTACCTTTCTATCCTATGCTTCGACGCGCAGTTCTCGAGAAAGGGAAGCGCTGGCTTTCGTTTTGCAGCTTCTCAGGTTGATAGTATCATAATGTAATAATGTTATTGATATATGTCATATATGTAGTTACTGTTATTCCAAAATGCTCTCAAATCGTGATTACATGCACCACAGAAACCAGCCAAATGTAACATGCCCTACATGGAGCGTTTGGTGTTGGAGTTGTTGTCCATCCACATCACTCATCGCTCGTCCGGCACCCATGTCCACACAATGCGGTTTGTCACTCATCCTAGCTTACAGATCACAGATGCCATGGAAGCTCAGCTTTTGAACCCGGCTCATTTGGCCTGGATTCAATGGTGGCGAAACATGTCCAGATTGTCTCATGCTGAGGGTTGTGGGAAGATGTTGGAGTTCGGAGAAAGACTGGTTTCCTTTCAATATCTACCGTCACTTTCTGCCGATCACATGGCTTGAACACCCTGAACCACATCAGTTCAAACTATATCAATGTATATCGGTTCCAGTACATGTTTAACTAACGCAAGTCAGTTGTCATTTTCCGGGTGACTTCTCAACAGGAGCCACCGTTCAGCCAAGTGCTCCACATTGGTCGGTCCTTGGCGCTCGCGGTTTGGTAGGTTGGAGCACCTTTATCAGCGTTTTCCCATGCTATGATGGTGGCTGCCCAGTGACCAAGCCTCTCGGAGAACCAACGGAGCGAAGGATGATGTTGGCAGAATTGCTAGGGAATTGGTTTCAAACGAGCAGTAGAGTGCAGTCGCTGAGCATGTATAGATCAAGCGATTCTTCTTTGTTTGCCATTGAGCAGATCAGCTATAGCCGAGATCCTTGCTTCCCATTTAGGATGAGATGCTTGATATTCCCAAATACTGTTCAGATCTCATGCTGATCCCAGAAGCCTTAGGAAAAGCGATTCCCAAGGGTTTTCAGCTTTGTTATTGAGTCTTTTTGATTTGGTGTGTGGGAAACAAATATTGAACAATATATATATATATATAGCATACACATGTGGCGGTTGATTGGCGTGTATACCTGTAACAAACATAGCCACAACCCTTTGACCTTCTTGGTTTTGGAACGTGCGAACGGCGAACGGATTGTGTGTGATCAGGAACGAACGGCCGTCCATGTGTGGACGTGTTCCGAGGTTTGGTTTTGAAGTGAAGGACACTGGGAGAGAGCTGAGGGCACCATCAGCCGTGGCCATGCGGAAATGGGGCTGTTGGGTGTGTTGCGGTGGAGCGAGATAGTCATCCACGGAAGGCAGCAAGCTCTTTGGGGTGAACTGTTTAAACCAATGTTGACGATTGCAGGAAGCAAAATTGGGGTGTTTAGCCGCTTTGTATGGCTTTGTGTTCTCCAGATAAAGAATATGAACAGATCTCAGACAAGGACCACACGCGTCGAACAGATTTCAAAGCTGCTGAACCCCAATCCAAAACAAGCACAACTCACAAACTCTCTCAAACATTGTTCCCAATTAGTGTTTTCGTTCAGCATCCTCTCGCATAGGTTTCTGCCTAGGCATGTCAAACTTTTGAAACTTTTAAAGCATACAAGTCTCACAGTTGGTGCACATGTTTTCACAGTCAGACGACGTCGAAAACTGACGAGCCTGCCCGGCTCGTACCTATAGGGCGCCCTTTTCCGCCCCACTGGGCCGCTGCGCCCCACGGGGGCGTCCGTTCCCGGAGCCCCGTCGTCAGGATGTCCACGACGGCAGCTTGATGCAGACACCGGCCAGGACCTTAGCACAGAAGACTGGAGACCTGCACGACTTGTCCAGGGCAGTTGCGAAATGTTTTGCTTTTGGATTTGTTTTAGGGTCACTTAAAAGGTTTCGACTGTGCTACAGCATTGAACCATGCAAGATGAGACCATGATATCATGATATCATATGATATCAAATGATATCTATCAGCCTGATTAAACTTGATGTACAAGGTCACTCTGCAGCTACCCAGTTGTGCATGACACCAGCGCTTTGAGAAGAGAATGTAAACCCTTACAGCATGATACCTGCACCACAGTGAACGACCTGCTGCCTGTTAGGGTCCAACTCTCAAAACAAATAAAAGAAATGAAAGGAGCCACCGTCACCTTGCAGAACGCACTGGAAACGCTCAGTAGCAAGCTTCAGAGGGTCCCGGTCACTTGCTCTTGCTTGTTTTGTTAAAAATCAGGGTTAGTTTAGACTGATTCGATGCTCTCCCTGGAGAAGAGGAGGAGTACTCCGCCACTTCCGCAAAAAACTTACATGGAAGGCTTGCAAGTTTTCCACATTGGATGCCACCACTGCCAGAATTGTAGGCTAGTAGGCTAGCGGCTAGCGACTTTGCCTGGATTTGCCCACTGAGCTTGACTTGACAGGTGGCTCCCCTGACACTCAGATCAACCCAGACAACAACACTCACGAAAGGGAACCAACTGCTATAACAGGCATAGAGTTCCTGGAATGTGTGGATTGTTGATGATTATTGGGTATTATTGGGTTGTTCACATATATATATATATATATATTAATTAAATTGTTCAAACTTATATATAAATATAGCACACATATCTCATATATATATATATATTTATTCTTATATATGCATTGCCAAATTCCCGACTTCAGAATCGAATAAGTCATGGTTCATGAATGTTGTTTGTTGCCAGAAGAGAACTCCAGGAACAAGCAAAAAATATGCTGCTTCAGTTGATGGACAAATCTTGCCTCACCGGAGAAATCACAACAAAAGACCCGCCGATCGACTAGAAACAGCAGGAAGCTCGGGGTTTCCTCACTGTTCACAGTCGCAGTTCTTGCCCAACCCTAATACACAACTGATGCGATAACCCTGTAGTCCTAGACGTCTCATCCTAATCCTGACTAGATTGCAGAACATTTCAAACCCTTGGCCCAATTTGCATCCATGTTCTTGTTTTTGGTCGGAGAAACCGCTCAGATTTGGGGCACCAACGCGCCGGATGAGCCTGGGAGACCCAGACGAGCGGGGCGATTCGCGGAACAAAAGCATGCCCAGTGGATCAGTTACCACTAGATAAGGAACCAGGCTTTCTAGGTCTATGGAGGGGAAGGGGTGTAGCATTAATGTGTGATGGCTTGCGCCTGCTGTATGCTTCCATGTTCTTGGAACAGCTGGAGTAGCTGCAAAAGAGTCTTGACATAGCCTTGGTTGGCGACCTTGGTCGATCAAGGTCAGAGTTGGTGGTGTTGCTGGTCCACATCTACGGATATCTCCTCCAAAATGACTTGTTAGGGTTTCAGCGTTTGAGAAGGTCCAGGACTTGGTCAACTGCTTGACGAGGAAGGGCTACTACTTCTACAGCATCAACACGCTTCGTTGGAGACCTCAGCCGCGCATGATAATGCGGGGACAGGGAGAGGGGGGCCGGGTCGGTATTCAAGCTAATAGCAATAGAAAGATCTTGCTGAAATGGAACTGATTTTGCAGAAAAAAGCATTTTGCCCTCATGATGCTCCCAGATTGCACTTATGCAGCCATTTTTTTGATTCCTGAGCTGCCGCCGAACGCCTTTTTGCACCGCTGATTTTGCCATGGCTCGTGCTTCTGCGCTCTCCAAGGCTCTTGTGGCTGCCGGTGCTCTCATGGCCCTGCGCCTTTTGTCCGGTGAGACCTTTGTGACACCTAAGCAACGAAACGAAGCAGCAGCGGCAATGGCAGCTGCCATGGTAGCAGCATCTGCGCCAGCCATGGCTGAGGCAGGGCCCCTCAGACATGACAATTGAGCGGGTTCAATATGTTCAATTTGAGAAGTTATTTTTTGATTTTCTCCGGTTTTGATGAAGCATCAAAAGTAGCCGACACCTCTGACTCTGCATGTGCAGGTCCCCACTTTCTCCGTCTTCGGGTTTGGCAGCGGCCAGTCAGACTCTTGGAAAAATAGTTTCAGGAAGTTTCAGATGTATTGTTTGCAGTTCCCCTAGCCAAACTTGGCTCATTGAAATCGCGTAACAGTAACAGGCAACCTGCAAGGAACTGAGGTAGGTAATTAAGGCTACTGGCATGTTGCATGACCCATTCAGCTGCAAGGATGCCTACAGCCAGAACGACAACCCGATCAATCCGTACTCCCAGTTCAGCGATGGCAGCGACACAGTCTACCAGGCCAAGAACCAGCCTGAGATGGAGAGGAGGACCAAGTCATTGAAGGCAGGGCTGAAGCGTTTCGAGGACACTCCGGGGTACATCCAGACCAAGCAGGCCCAGGCACTCAAGTCCAACCTCCAGGAATCCAATTCCTTGAGGCAGGACCTCCTGTACTTCTCTGGCGCAGAGGGTAGCCCAGCTTGGGAGAAAGCCCGCCAGTTTGTGCAGAAGGTTGGTACAATGGGCGTTGATGGCAACAGCAAGCAGTGGAAGCGAGCGGCCGAGGACTACAAGGAGGCCTCCAACATCCTGGCTGAGTGGAAGAGCCTCTCCAGCTTCAATTGAGTAGGACCGGCAACGGTTTGAGCTTTGCTACCATCTTGCTGGCGAGCACACAGGAAA